CCATACACACAGTCAAAATTTATTTTCTGTATCATAGGCTGTTCTTTTGATTGCTGAACCTTCCTTTCTGTGGTCTTGATACTTTCATTCTTGAAGAAGGTTGATAGAAACAACATTTTTCTAATCTTTAACACCTTTTTACATTTGTAGACCCGTTCTTTGCATTTGTCCATCTCTATTTTGTGTCGTGTCTTATGCTTAGATAGGGAACTCTCTAGGGCAGTTTGATCTGCATTTAGAGTGTTAGAATACTGATGTTTAACCTATAGTTCCAGGTGTTTCCAGCCCATTACCAGTTGCTCAAAGCATAGCATTATTTTAGGACCTTTTATTATTTGAATTATTGCAGTGACTTATGTCTCTGGTACTGATTTGCACTTTGTTAGGCTTACTGTAATGCATGCACATAAAAGTTGTAAATTCAGGAAAACAAGGTCAGGAAGTAAGTGTGATGAGTTTTGAATAACCATTAAAACACAATTTAGTCTTGACCGCTGTCCATTCTGTGTGCACCAAATCCCATTCTGTTGGATAGCACTGGGACCACACCTTCTTGGGAAATCATGTTTTTGTCTGTGCTTAAGGTTTCAATGAGCAGAGGTAGTTGTAGCTCTGTATCTTTCTCGTACTTGTGTCCAGGGCACTGAATTCTGTGACACTTCCAATTCAATACAAAGAAATAAAGAATCCAGGTTAAAGTTGAAAGAGGTCAGGCTCTGGTTCTCCTGTGGTGTAATAATTACAGTGAGTGATGGATTCTCGAAATGTTTGCTGTGCTTGCAGGAGATCTTGGTTGTTTAGCACTGCTGAATTTCAAGGTCCTCAAATGAAAAATTGAGCAGAAATCTGAAATTATTTTTCTAAAAGGTTTATGCAAAACCTAGCAGATGAAATAAGCCAGGAAAGCTTTTCAAATCTATTTCAAGTATCAGATCTCTTCCATGAATCAATGTTGTTGATGAGTCAAGTTACCACCATTCGCAATTTTTCAGAAGCTTTTCTTGCTGACCAAGGCAAGGACATCTGAAAGAAGCAATAAGGAGCACTGTATTAGTAGTGTCAGAGATTCTTCTGATCTAAACTTGAAAAAAAAACCAGAATGACTTACCCAGAACTTATTCTCCGGACATAAATATAAAATCAGCAACATGCAACCTTGTTTTCATGTTTATTATTTTTGTCAGTCATCTGACCACCTATAATAGAAACAAGGTTTTGATCCTGAGTACTTCTCCTTTTGTTATATACCACCATTCATACTTTATACCATTATCCACCTACTTGAATCCTCTGATTTTTACTCTTAACCATTACATGTCACAGAGATGCCATTCTATCTTCTACTCAAACTGGCTCATTGCCAGATCATTCTTGATAGTAATCATGAGGTAAAATACATTTGACAGGACTTGGAACTCCTAAATAACCTGATTCATTTTCCTTTTCCTCTGAAGAGGTTTCTGCTTTTGGCTGGAATGTATTCTCACACATATGTATGAGTATTAAGCAAACTTTGAAATCGGACACAAAAGTCGCTGATGACTTCAGTACACTTGGCGTCCAAAAATGTGTGTTTGTTGTCAGTAATCCTGCTGAAATAACCACACAGTATGCTTTTATCACAGCAAAATCTGTTTCAGTCTAATGTGAAAACATGCATTCATCTGGGTAGCTTTCACAGAAATGCAAGCACTCGTATCCTGTCTGATTAACTGCAGGTATCAGTAACAGGTACACAGGGGCAACCTTTGGTAAATGAAATTCGGAGGCAATCTTGCCCTCAGGAAGCTGCAATATCTAAACTCTATATGTTTTGGATTTTAAAGCTATTTATTTGGCATGTACACTGTCACCATGACTTGTTTCTAACAGTCATTAGTTTATTGTCTCTGAGTCCAAAGATGGCAAGTAAAGGAGGAAAAATTCCTTTAGTAAATCATTCAATATTGCTGAATTATGAATGGTGCAGTGCAGTGATAGTGTATCAGCCCCAGTTCTGCTTTTTGGCAGTTTCAATGAGTTCAGTCAGTGCTCCAGATGGCCATCCCTCCATCTAGGATCACGTGGGTTTTTTACATTCCACAACACCTCATGTCCAAACTGATTTGCCTCATGCTTTCTCTTTGCCTGGGCAGCCTCATTCTTCCTGAGCTTTTCACTTCCTTCTAAGTGTGAGCCTGTCAGTCCCTGATACCTTATCATTGTCATATTTTGACACTTTGAAACTTTGCTAAGGAAGCAAAATGGGATTTTTAAATTTTTTTAATCAGAGGTGCAATTCCACACTGCCTTCTCTGGTGATATAGCCAGTTTAAGATGTGACAACCCTGCTTTCCACTCCTGTCATGCTTCAAAGAAAGGTGCCAACAAGTTTTCTTGGGCTACATTTGAGACCAGTACAATGAAATTAGTTGAATTTAAAACAAAAATCTGGCATATATTTTCCCCCTTGCCATTTAAAAAATTGTCTCATGCCTGAAGAGAGAAGTTGGTTAACTGTGGCCGAAGGAGAGGTGGCCAAGGATAATGATTTATTAGACAGTGATGCTAGAGGAGACTGAAATCGAGCTGAGCCTTCTGTAGACTTAAAAGAGAACTCTACCTTGATGAAAATCAATGGATGGGCTGTTCTGATGCCACAGTGCAAGGTTTCTTTAATTGATGTTTTGCTGCAAAACTAAAAGATAAGAAGAAGAAGTTGCTTTTCGGGTGATTTTTGGGGGGGTGGAGGGTGTTTTTGTTGCATGTTTTGGAGTTTATCTTACCAAGTCCTCCAAGCTATAGCCAGGAAAGAAAGAACAACTAAGTGTGCTTCTTGTTACTCTCTTACTGCTCTTACTGACTTTATTGCTTTCTACAGCTACATGAAAGGAGGTTGGAGTGATGTGGAGGTCAGTCTCCTCTCTCAAGTAACAAGAGACAGGACGAGGAAATGGCCTCAGGTTACACTAGGGGCAGTTTAGACTGGATATTAGGAAAAACTTCTGAACAGAAAGGGTTGTCAAGCATTGCAACAGGTTATCCAGGGAAGTGGTGGAGTTGTCATCCCTAGAGGTATTTGAAAGATGTATAGGATGTGGTGCTTAGTGGCATGATTTAGTGACAGACTTGTCAGTGTTAAGTTAACAGATAATCTTGATGATCTTGGAAGTCTTTTCCAGCCTAAATGATTCTATGATTCTAAGGTAGGAGAGGGTAAATTTTGCAATTAATTGTCTTTTATGATGTTTGCCATTGTTAAGGACTCTTATCCAAGGGTCCTTCAGCTACTGTTTGTTTCACATCAGCTATTCAGGTTGCTGTCTGGCTTTATTCTAATCTAGTAAAATAAAGCTCAGTGTAGTGAATGTTGGTATAACCAATTCTTTTGCTGGGTTGGGTTTAAGTGTTGGTGGAGGAGTGTCCCTAAGTAAGTGTTGTTCAAAATAATTCAGCCATCTGCACAAGAGACAAGAACAGCTGGCTTCAAAGGCACCACAGCCATTTTAGAGTAGGTGTATGTACAGTCTTGTCCAGACAAAACAAATTACTTGTTGAGCACGAAAGAAGAGATAGGGTATTGAAACCACGTGTACTTTGCCCAATCCAACAATGAAGAAAATAATTTTTTTAATAGAAATACAGCCGTGTTCTTCAGTCTGATACAATTTAACAAAGAAGACAGCTTCTTTTTCTTTTTTGTTTTGTTTTTTGTTTGTTTGTTTGTTTGTTTGTTTGTTTGTTTGTTTTTTGAGTCTGCTACTGACAACTGGTGTAGGCCTTCAGATAAGACAAAGGTAGCATTCCAGGAGGTTTTGTAAAATAAACAAGTGAATTAATTGCAGTTAAATTTCTCTGAAGACTGTGTGCATGTGTTTTGCTTTTATTTAAAGTGCAATTGTGTTCTGAAAGTGTTGTGGCAAATAGTTGCCTTTTTTCTATAGAATAGCTTCTTGTATGTACTCAGAGTGGCATTTGTATGTTACATGTTAAACAGCAGTTCACAGTGAAGTCCTTTGAATAAGATCAAGATGATTGTTTGACAAATTCCACCTACCTAAAGCTGTGGAAACAAGCTGAAAACGAGGGTGAAGACAATTGTCAATAAGTGGTGATGCACTGAGAGATGAAAAAGATATTCCAGTTTGAATTTTCAGAAATAACTCTTACTGGAAAGAATCTCACATTTAATAGTCTGAATGTATTTTGATCGGTATACATAAAGCCTCTCTGCATGATGTGGACATTTGTTATCAGATGATAATGTTTGTCCGAAGGAGTGTCTTGGTTCTTCAATACAGATAATTCTAGAGTGTTCAAGGAATTCCCTAATCTGATTATATGATTACATCTGAGGATACAGCATAGATTTTGAGGAAACCATTTGGCCATTCTGAGTCAGATCAAGGACCATTTTATGGTTTAGAGGGGAGCAGGGTGTTATTTTTACAAAGGTGTCCAGGTTTCATGGAAAATGTGCATTTATCTTAGTTATTCTGGGAACTATGGAGAATGCAGTAGCTATTCTCCTTTAGAAACTTTTTGTTTGTAGTAGGCAGTTTGGAATTTGGCTACAATGATGAGGTTAACTTCTCAGATATGTAACTTTTAAACAGATCTCCATTCATATACTTTAGAGGTTTATACAGAATTTAGTAATTTTCTGCCGATCAGTGATGACAATCTTGAACACATTTTAGTAAATCAGATTAAACCACTCTGCATTCTCGAGATACTAACAAAATTTTAGCTTCCAGTAGGAAACAGATATTCATATATCTGTTAATTTAAATAGAAATTAACACAAATGTATAAAAATCTATAGCACGATGCAGTGCTGTTAACTAATACACTGAAATGGTAAAAGAACTGTTGTATAACTTGGTTATTTTACTCATTTTTCTTCACATGTTTTTAGTGAGTTTGGTTTTTTTAAATATGTACATTTAATATAGCTGTATGGCTATAGAATATTAATTAAGAATATTCAAACTGATGGTGTTTTATCCCTGATTTTCCAGCTAAGACATTTAGGAAATGATGAAGTACACATTGTCTGGTCAGAACATACTCGAGATTATAGAAGAGGAATCATTCCAACAGAATTTGGTGACGTTCTTATAGTTATCTATCCCATGAAAAACCATATGTTCAGTATCCAGATCATGAAAAAGCCTGAGGTAATGATTTGTTTTCGTTTGTGTTTCCTTCACGTGTTTAACATGAACACTTCTGTTTGGAATCTGAGGTTTTGGTATAATAGATTGATCCAACAAGGTGATATCTTAAGCATGGACAGTTCAGTGGTGCTGGGAGGGAAAAGGAAGAGCTCAGTGAGTACAGTGCACAGTAAAATAAGTAACTTGAAATTGCAAAGGCCTGATGCTGTAAAGCGTGTCTGCTAACAACATAATCCTGAAACAAAACTAGAATATTCTGCATAATAGTTTAAATACTACAGTGAACCTGTCAAACTTTTTAAATCAAATTTAATGCATAACCAAGGGAGTTGAATAATGGCTGTTCCACCTTCCTCTATCCATGTCATACTCTCCCCTTTTTCCTCTCCAACCTATTTTTTACTTTTTTACTTTATTTTTTACTTTTACTTTCCTATCTCCACATAAGAATTTGGGGATGAACTCAGTAAAGTAAGATCCTTCATTCATAAGAATACACATTCTTTCTAATGACTGTTCCTCAAATGTCAGTGCTGACCCTGTTCTTAAAACAGTGGTTTAGGATTGTGAACACTAAACTGACTGAGTAAAAGTAGTCACGAGTTTTTGTACTACCTAACTTCTCTGTGTGATGTCACTTGCCATGAATTTCTATACTTTAATAAAATTATTACCACAAGCACTCGTATCAATAAATGAGGTATGACAAAAATAGGATTACCTTGTTGTGATGATTGCCTCTATCTATTGATAGGCATGAAATAATAGTCTTGTTATTGTTGGATTACTTTTATTTTTAACTGATCAGCATATTCTTTTTTTTGCTACTTTAACTACAAATAGTTGTATTATTGGGAGCATGCAGGTTAAGAAGGAAGGCAAAAACTGCTGAAAACAGGGGTTGTTGTTAGTCCAAAAAGAACTCCTTGTATGTGGAAAAAGTGCCTTCATTAGATTTCAGTATTCTCAAAACTACATTAAATGACTAATGGCAAAAGTAATACCAGGATCTAAAATTCTTTTGCAGAATTTGTTTCCTCTTAGCAGGAAAAATATTTAGTGTACACTCTGCTCGCTTTGCTAAGCTGATGCACGGATTTTGCTGCTCTTCTCCTGCTTTATGTGAGCAGCTTCAGAACTTTATTCACATGTGCAGGAAATGGAGATACTTAATACTGAATGTTTGTTTTGGTTTGTTTTAACTGCGAAGTAATGATTGATTAGAGAGAAAAGTAATGCCATAATATAAGATCTATCTGTTCTATTCACCTAGGGGGCTAGCTATGCTAAATATTGAGGTTTCCCACGGATCTCACAAATAAAGTTTTACAATTAGGTTCCAAAGAGGCGAAACTTTCACCCCAGATTTCTTCTGTAAAAGTCTTACAGTCTTTTTGTTTAGATAATGTAGAAAGGAAGAAGAACAGAAGAAAAAAAAAGGAAATAGAAGGTGAGGGTCAATCCACCAGTAACTGTATTACACTTTCACACTGGGTTGGTCCTTGTAGACATGTTAATAACTAGAGCCATGATAAAAATATTTTAGAATTTGGGTAATAATTTCTTTTGCTTCTTACCATCTATAATATTATCATCTAGGCTATCAACCTCATAGACATTATATGCATGACTGTTCCTAGGATTTTTGCAGCAAATGTTGGAAATTATCTTTGATGAGACATAGTATTCAAATAGTTGCTTAATTTTTTTCAAATGCTGTGTTATCTGTTGCCAAGGATATCAAGCAGTTATATGGCTGTATATTTCCACAAGAGAAAAAGACTGACTTGCAACACAATAACTGGTTTGATTATCTAGCCATGAGGAGGGGAAAAGACATATATTTGAGTGCTCTATTGTTAATGTTGATTGCTAATTGTTATAGCTATGATCTTGTCTTGCTTTATGTTGAACTTCTTAATTTTTTATTCAGGTTCCATTTTTTGGTCCACTCTTTGATGGTGCTATTGTGAATGGAAAAATTCTGCCTATTATGGTTCGTGCAACAGCTATAAATGCAAGCCGTGCATTGAAATCATTAATCCCATTATACCAAAACTTGTATCCTTTCACTCAAATGGTTTCCAAGGCATATACATTCCCTTGCAGTTCTACAGATATGATACTCATGGGGTTTTTTTTCTTCTTTTCAGATTAATATAGGGATTTTTTCTTAATGGTGATGGTGCCTTTAAGGAGCTTAAACCCATAGAAGAGCATTCAGATGAAGACCACCTTTTTTAATTGAATAAAGAATAGACTAAATAGTGAAAAATTGCCTATTTCTAATGTTTTGTAGCATGGACTTGTAATTTTTTGTTAACAAAATTATTTTAATGACCATTTTGTGAACACTCTTTCAAAAATCGCACTATCATGATGTTAATAATCTTTCTTTTTTTAAGATATTAAGTATTTATCCAGTATTAGTGTGACTTAATTTTATTTTCTAGTTCCAAGAATGCTGCTTTCCTTCAAGGTGAGAAGTTTATTAAACTTCCATTGTACAGATTTTCTTATTCAGCTCAGAATACCAAGTTGGTGTCATGTTAGTATCTTTGTAAACACGTCAGAAAAGGCCGTCTCTTTTCTGTTGTTGCTGTTGGAACTGAAATTTTATGTTTTGGAGGAGCTGCTCTTGGAAGAATAGATTTATCAACCATAAGTTTAAAAACATAAGGTAAGTCAGTCACTTTTACCCCTTTCCTTACTTAAGATTGAGTTCTGTTAGTTAAATCAACAAGTTAAAATCAACCTGTTAGTTAAATCGACAAGAAACTTTTGAAAATCATAAACTGGAAGATAAGTTTAAATTTTGATCCAAAAGAATTCTGTGCTTATTTTCTAACCAAGCGGTAAATACTAGTACTTGTCAAGTGATAGATTGTTGCTAAAATAATATTTTTTTCTATAGCTGACTGTTAATACTTGCAGAGTTTTGGATTAGATATGATGAAATGGATTTACAGATGAATGATGGATGTCTTTTATGTGATCACATTAAGTGATGTTTGTGCCATTTCTGTAGATGACACACGTTGATTCATTGTATTTTCGTGTTTGAAAAGGTCCGATCTTTCTGTCATTACTCAAGTAGCTTAGTCAAAAAATTTAAGATGTATTATCATTATCATCATCAACCATCAAAAGTGATTTTTTAGGGCATTATATTGATGTATAGTGATGAGCAATTGGAAAACAATTTACTTTGAAATAGTAAACTTCCAGTACCAAAAAAGCCCCACAGACTTGTATGTTCAAACTGCAGAGAATAATAGTTTTATTAAATTCCTTGGATGTAGCTTACCAGCTCAATGTGTAGGAATTGGCCAGTTCCACGGAGCTGTGCACTGCATTTTTAATTCAGTTCTCCAAATTTTACTTTTTAATGTGCATCAAAGCACAGCATGTCATTTATGTCATAATGTGGCCTCCATTAAAATGCTGATGTGTCTTCTAGTATGGTTAGCATGGTAAGTGGAAAGCATTATGTGTATTTGATTTTAGATAGCATTGTTTGGTGGGTTTCATTTCATCACTTGGTAAGCTTATGAAGTACCAGTTGACTGGACACTGATATTAAAGGGTGGCTTTGTTAAGTTGTCAGTGGAATTATTTTTCCATCTGGCTTGGAGTATCTTATATTTACTGTTCAGTATAATAATTTAAAAATTAAAATGGGCTTATGGGAAGTTCTTTAAAAGCCATTTACTTGGTGTGAAATTAGAAAAAAAACTCTACAAACTTGAATCGTGACTTGAATTAGGCTCTGATGGAGTCAGTTGTGTCCATGGAGAACAGCAAAAAATGCTAAACTTCGAAGTCTGGCCTAAATCTCAGTGGTATAAAAACCTCTTGATTATAAATGTCACGGACATGCTCTCAGTGTTCAACCCATGGCCAGACTTGAGGTCAAGAAGGAATTTCTCTCATACAAGAATGGCTAAGAGTGGTGGATGTTTCCTGTAACATGGACATTGTCTGTTATCTAGGAACATTTGAAAGTTGAATCTAATTATGTTCCTGTGATAGCAGAGAGTTGAAGACATCAAGGACTGTCTTTATTGTCTCCTGCTTTTTTTCCTCTGAGATATTTTAGCTATGGCTGCAGCAGTTCATTTCTGGCTTTTAAGTTTGTAGTGGACTAAAGGGTGTGGGGAACAGGCATATTTTATGTTCTGTGGTTAAATAGCTTTTCTGGAGACACTAGTGGAATTAATGTCTCTTGTGGAAGACAGACAGGATTCACTAATCAAGGCGGCCTTGCCTTGTGTTGGAATATTGCTGGAACAAAGAAAAAGAAGGCTCAGAGTGGTGAAAACAATACATTTGAAGAGGGAGGAAAAAGGGAACAAAAAAGCTCTTTTTCAGAAAGTACACAAAATGGAAGAGTGAAGCTGATGATCAAGGATTTCCACAAGTCCAGGACCATAACAGTGTCAGTGAAAGGGAATCCTGAAGTGATATTCTTGAAACTGATCTTCATTTACCTACTTATGAATCTCTAACATACTGAGCAGTGCTAGTTTATTAGGAATTTGGATGATGGCTAATAGATATCCAGTTGACTGTGGATGTCAAGGGCACAAGAGTACTTGAGACTTGTGAAACAAAACAGATGTTAGGTACTACATTTCTGTTTTAACCCTTCTTTTTACAGTAGTAGACCAGCAGAAATAGTTAATTTAGCCAGCATGACTGTATGGGTGTCTCTCTGCCTGCAGGTGTGCAGTTTGTTTTCTGGTACTGTAATACTTGATGAGCACTTTTTGACTTAGTATGGAGTTAAAGATGTATATGTGGGCCTGTGCTTATCCATTTTTGAAGAATGTTTATAATATCACCTTGTACATCTTGTGGTGATGGATCACCGTAAACTCTTGATTAAACTAAGACAGTTTTGATTTGCTTGTGTATGGGATGAGAAAAAATTGGCACTGAGTTTGACCCTCCTACTTCCAAGGAGAGCTTATCTCCCCTCTGAGACAGTGCATTTTCTAAGTGCAAACCTGACTGAAAAAATCAGCTGTCATTTGTAATCAGCAGGGATATTCAGTCCTCTTCACGTAACCTGATTGCAACTTTTTCCTTAATGCGCTGGTCTGTTAATCACAGGGTGGCAATGGTAGTATGTGTGAATGGTATAATAATGGTTGCATGGATACCAGAAATTCTGGTCATCTTCTCCAACTTTGAGTATATGTTGTACAGCCTGAAGTAGCTTTCTGAGACTGACATGTTCTGTCAATCATCTTCCTCTTTCTGACGTTATTTTGACATTCCTGATGGGATACTTACATAGCAAAACACTTCAAAGATTTGGTTTGGTTAATGGTTTTTAAAGGTTTTATCTGCTCTGTGGTTTTATTCTTTGCTCAGAATACTATAATATGTTTCCATATTGTCATGTGTTAAGATTAAAAATTCACTAAATTTATCGGCAAACATTAGTCATGCATGGCAGATCTCCTGCTTTATTTGATTCTTTACACACTCATTGCTGCAGCTGTGTGAAGAGAATATTGCTATTTTGGGTGGAGTTTTGCATTGGTGTGTAGCATTTCCTTTAGTTTCTCCTTCAAGGGCTGTCGGGCCCCCAGTACTTTTTGGTGGCCTGGCTCTCTTATATCAGTACCTCCTCAGGAACAGGTGGCATACATGCACGCAGAAACAGGTGACAAACACAAAATACTTGTGGTGTCTTGCTAATGAAACAGCAGTAACTCCCTCTCTGTCCCATAGCCGATGTGTTTCTTCTCTTCATTGCATTTGCCATTGTCTTACAAAGTGCATGCTTATCTCCTGAGTACGCTCAGGCTGCACATATGCTAGGAAAACATCTAACACTTATAAATGCAGGTGTAATATTGGAACTAAATGTTGAGAACAGTCGTTTTCACTGTGATGTAGAATAAGAAGGATAATATTTAAGGATTGTTAAATACTCTTTATTTCGTAAATTGCATTGAAGTTCTTGATATGAAGAGTTTTATTCATGGCTCATGTCTCAGACCAAGCACTTTGTCACATTCTGAATTCAGAATCAACCATCTATGGGAAATGGATCAATACTAAGTATTTGGAACAGTAGGAATTGTGACTTCATATACAATTTTATTTGAACTTCCTGAATAAACAGCAGATGTTGGCCAGATGCCAAGAGGTACACCTTGACATAGTAGGCACCTTCAGTGATCCAACTTTTTACAATTACTGCAACAAAGCAGGGCAAATACTAGAAACCTCGTGGGAGTGAAATTGCAATTGTGAAAAAATTAGTGTCACTTTTTTCATTGTACACAAATTCTGGAGGGCTGACAATTATTCCAAACTATCTGCACTTCAGATAGTTCAATTCAGACACTTTCTGTCTTACATAGTATTCCCCTATTACAGATGCTACCTAAGACACACAGTAAGAAGCTAAACACACAGTAATTAAACCTCTTTAATATCTTTTAAATCTGAAATTTATAGATATTTTAGGATACCTGGAATATGCATGACTGTTTTATCCTTAATCATCATAGCGTAATTCTCACTTCTTTCTAATAATCTGCAAAGTGTTTGACCTAGTGCCAAGAACTGGCATTTCTTTTTGGAGATTTTTTTTGGTCATACGAAACCAATTCATTTAAACAGTGAAAATAATGCTGCTTTAATTATTCCATCTAAAAAAATGTATAGAGTAATTGTAATCTGAATTATTAGATAAATTAATCTTTGTTATCAAAACTGAAAATTTGACATCCTCCTAACTTTCTTGATATTGTATGACTAATCAGTTGGTACTTAATGTATTGTAGCTAATCTTTTGACAGTTGTCTTCTAGAGAAAGGGAAGGTATTAACCCCATATGGTGTCTGACAAGGTAGTAACTTATTTATGAATAAAGTAATGTCTATGAGTGGTTTGTTAAAAGTCTGCTTTGTATTAGAAACTGATCACTCAGAAAAAGCTTTTTTTTATTGAGGTGATACTCAACTGCCCCAGGAAAAGATTTTATTAGAACTGGTAGTGTTGCTGTTTGTTGTTCTTGCTTGACCATTTCCTGCCACAAG